GGTTATAGGGTTTATAGGGGTTTAGGGTTTATAGGGTTTAGGGGTTTAAGGGTTTCATCGAAATCCGAAAGCCCCACAGGCCGGCCTTCATAAAGCTGAAGAAATGAAGATGTGGAGGCCAGCTCATCTCACCTGTTTGGCTTGCACTCTAAGAGAGGGGTTTCGATTCTCACTCGAAGGGACGGGTTTGGGTTTCGGGGCAGCATGTGCTTCAAGCGGGCTCGTGTTGCTTCAGCTTCCTATTGCCCTACTGTCGTCACTGTCCTGCCTTCACCACATATCCAATGCAGCCAGCCATCATCTTGTCCACGACCAAGGGTCCTGCATGGTGTTTCATTCGATCGGCATTAGTGGTAAGTTACAACTGATCCACATCTTCGTAAGGGGTTTTGCTTCTCCTTAGCTTTGCACTCTAGACTTATAAGTATCTCGGGGCGACCAATCCCGAATCATCGGAAAAACAACCGAAGCCTCATCATTATAAACCCTGACAGCACCACTATCCAAGCAACACCCCCATGGCTCCCACAATTCAAGCAAGTTTAACCTATAGCCTGTAGACTCTAGACCACCGTTGAGTGACCCCAAACCACTATCAACCCGTCCCGGCACTCCTGCTCCGGCGAGTGGCTTCGCCAGGTCAAAGACAGCCATGGAGATCGCTGAAGAATGGAAAAGTCTCGAAAGCTTAGGGTTCCTAGGGTGTTTAGGGTTTTAGGGTGGAGGGTTCTCAGCCATTATAGCTAGTGAGAGTTGCTGTATTTCGGCGTGTAACCCTGAGGTTCGCATCATTCCTAGCACACCTACTTTGATTTCTCCAATGATCTGAAAAGCCTTCGTGCAAGGCCAAAGAATTCCGGTTTATATCCCATTAGAATGATGTTGATAAGTATATAAAGATGCACAATACACGATTCGTGGCCTCTCCGAGCACTAGTTGCAGGAATCGAAACCCGGTGACACAAATCCTTGCCACTGCCACACAAAGCTGCAGTTACAACTTTTATGGGCAACTTTAGCGTTCCAGGTAAGGCCTCCTGGCACCTTGCAACCTATCCCTTGCCTCTTAAAGCTGTGAAAGCTGCGCAAGGTGGCTTGGACATGCCTCGTAGAAGCTTGAGCAAGCTGCGTCGTAGAGGCATCATCGCACGCTACAAGCATGCAAGTCTCACCGGTCGAAACGTAACCGCGATCGGTGACCCTCTTTTCGCCACTCTGCATGCCTTCGGAGGCAGCGGCGGGAAGAACGGCGCTATCAGCGGCAGGCAGCGGCGTCAGCGGCCCAGCAACCTGCGGCATAGGCGGCGGGGCAGGCGAATCGGCGGGACC